GGCTCACTACAACTCCCGCCACTCCACCGCAGTGAAGCCTCTGTACCCAAGCCTGCGCCTGCCTTCCGGGAGCCCAACTACGAGAGACCACAACCACCGCGACTGCTCACCCAGCCTACCCCTCAGCTCACACACCACCACTCTATGCCTCAGTCTGCACCGACTAGCGTGCCCCAACGTGCGTTGCCTCCTTTCCATTCGCTCGCAGAGCCGACACTTTCGGTCCCTCAGTCCTCGAGCGCAAGCACCAGTCCAGCTGCGCGACAACTACCGTCACCCTACGTGCTGCCCTCTGTTCCAGCGGAAGTCAGAAGTGCGCCAGTCTCACCAAAGGACAGGATGTCGCTGCGAAACATCATGTAGCTGTCTATCATGTTTCACGTTGTTCACCATACCCCTTCTTGTCTATACGTCGCATGTTTCAAACAACCTACTTCTATTAATGGCCGATGTTCAATGATCGACACTTTGCTTGTTACAAAGCTTTTCAACCTTGTCTACTCTTGTTTTGCATGCACCTAAAAAGGGAAACATTGTACACGACTCTCAGGATACCCCATGTAGCATCTCTGTTCATGTGTCACGGTTGGGAGGCACATCATTTCTGTTTCTATTCTGGCTTGTCGGAGCCAAGTAGCATCGCCTATGTCGAAGTCCGACACACTACGGCGTTTCTCCATTTGGACCCAGGGAGGTCTCACTGTACACTGCGACAATTAGTCGCCAGTAATAATACCCAGCGGTGCGACAGCACTTGCAAGCGTCTACACCGATGCCAATCAAAAACAATACACTATAACAAATTATGACCTTGTGAACAAACTTCAATCATCACACGATCCCTTAGTGACTCCCAGTACCAAGTTCCCTCACTTGAACGCCTGACGGGGTACAACAAGGAGTTCCCACACTGAACAACGATCGCCGAACACTAAGTTCCAGGTTTCTAAACGCTTCCAGGCGAGAGCTCACCGCTCCAATGACATCTCGACTGCTTGTGGTACCCACTCGTGACAGATACTCACAATCGTCCGCGATAGCCACCATGCTGAAAACCCCTCTCCACACCTCAACGTACGCATGGAGCGATCTCGCCGCGATCCCGATCAGTCCACGCAGTCGTACCCGTCGCAGCTTCTGCAGTGTCGCCTACACCGTCTCCTTATTGGACTGGACCCACACAGCTGACGAACAATAACTTCTTCTAAATTGACTGATTGGTCGCTCCTTTTCCTAACACTGCCACCAATAGTGGCCGAGGTGGGGCTCTGGACCGCTGAGCAAGAATCTGTCACCCGTGATACCTGCGACATGAAGATGGGCTTCGGCACTTCTGGAAACATGTCCCCAGGGATTCCCTGGGATGGACGTATACCACGATAGCAATCCGTGACGCGGGCAATAGTTTCGGAAGACTTCCCCATGCCACACTTACTTTGCAGCTGTGGAAATTACGAACTGTCCACGCACCTCCAGTTTGTACGCACAGATACGCCCACCGTGATCTCCTCGCTCTAGCTGTGTTCACGAATCATACACTCAATCCCGCCCGGTGCGGTACGGTCGCTCTGGCCCTCTACCACCGCACATCCGAGCGAATCGCATCTTTTGCAATTCACGATTCAACGTCCTCGGTATGATCGTTGGGCCGTCCACGTCAACGTTCCAATCAGCCAATGCCACTACACCCAGGGTCGGCGATTAGAAAAACACTGAAAACAAGACACTGGGACTTCGATCATGCGGCTACTGGTGGCCTTACCGTTTACGGCTATTAGACTTTGATCTACGCTCTAGTGCGCGACGGCTCGCGAGATTTGCGACTAGCGTATATCTCCATGTCCGCAATGGTGCAAGGAGCGTTGGAAAGACACGGGCAATTTGTGCATATGGCATAGCTCAAACTCTGGTACCCTAATGCGGACACAGAAGGTCTAATCGATAGCGTCTTTCGAACTTTGGTACCGGGTGGGCGCCGTCGAGAGGATGTCGCCGTTCAATCCCATAGTCTACCGCCCTTCCCTGTGATGCTAAAGACAACGCCGTCGCTGAGCCGTTGGTGGAAGGTCGCCGTCCTCGAGAGGGAGTATTTCAGTTTCCACTCCCTCGGGTCCGCGATCCATCGGCTTTGGTTCAGGCCCATACATGTCACAATGCGACTTCATCGGTACCAGGGACGGCGGTATTGTGGGACATCGGATTCGCTTCTGTTCGGGGGCGAGTAGACGCATGCACATCCCCATTTACCGTTGAACGTTGAACGGTACGGTTACGATAGTCCGGCGTAACTCGGTCTTGAGCATGTTTCTTTTTACGAACAACATCATCAGGGGACTCGATGAGGCCCTTCTGACGGAAGGTTCCTGCGTGTGAATGTCGTGATCCCTTCGATCTGCACAAGCATCACAACGTCGTCCTCTAGCGTAGATCGTGCCGGACCTCCTCCGCCTCAAGTCTGTGGCTCGTGGCGGGGCTACCAACCGGTCGAACTTATGACATGTGCATGCAGCTCAGATGGTGAAACCTTTTTCCTATGTCCAGGATCGCATGTCTAGCTTTGAGGTAGTGGTTATGCACGAAACGCGTCGCTTTCACAACTGCACTACATATGTAGGGGTATGCAGGACTGTCAGAGTCAATCAGACGGGTGTCAGACCAAGACCCTCGTAACCAGACTTCGAGCTGCTCGGCATGCTCGGTTACCTTCTGATGGCCTCGGTGAAACGCGCACGGGAAGCGGTTGCGTCAACAGTCTTGTGGAGTCACTGGGTCCAGGCGAAACCTCGTTTGTTTGTGTGCATACGCAGTGAAGACGTTAGACGTCAAACAACTGTGGATATCCCCGCGGACGTGCGGAACTGTTGCAACAGCTGGAGCCGTGGTTTCTGCTTTTGCCGATACTGGGGCTCGCGTCGGTTTCGGCTTCGGCGACTGCGAACGAATGTGTTGACACTGCGGAATGATCGCCGCCTCCTGTGGCAGTGTACGCACTTTCCAAATGGAGACCTCTCGATGCAACGATACCATCTTGCTATGCCAAACACAGAGTTCGCAGGTGTCGCTATGTCAGACTTGCTTGCAACTTGCTTCTCCATCCTGTCAGGAGGCAGAAGTGCACCTGCCGCATCAGCGGCTTGCGTTGCATCCTTCCAAGACCCCCATGCCAGGAGCCTTCTATTCGTTTATTCGTTCACCTCATTTGCAAACGTGCAGAAATTTTCCGGAGTCACCGCTCCGACTCTCTCGGCTTTACCGTGGGCAACGCTGCTTCGATCGCCTACAGCTAGCGGACCTTTTACCACAACAGCAACGTTGCATCCGCAGCCAGGAGACATCCCGTGTAAAACTGGGTCGTAATAGCAGTACCTCATCATCTCCTGCAGCGGCCCTTTTTCTCCCGTTTAATGTACTCGTGGCAATCCGTGCTGTAAGCGTCAGCGTGCGCCGCATACCTGCATTACTCCCAGTGACATGGGGCAAGCTTTTCGCAACCTTCCATGCGCTCCCAACGCATTGTCCGCTTTCCCTCGCGCCGCAGACCTGCATATCATCCAGTCGGCAAGCTCTTTCAACATTTTTTCGGACGTCGATCAAGGTCGTACAGAACAGTGAGACACGAGCTCTCGCTTACAGGCGGTAGGTAGCGAGTTGCCAGCAACGCGGGTTCGGTATTGTGTAAGCCTAGCTATAACGCCCGTATTAAGCGTATGTGCGAGGCTTGTACTCATCCTTCTCTAATCTTCGGGAACAATATGCGGAACACCTGGACTATATCAAGGGTAAACAGTGATACCCCATATCCCCCACTCGTTCTGCAGACGACCCGGTGCTTAATCCTGATGCAAGCCACCGGACGTTTTGCTGGAATCGTCGCTGGCAAATTGCACTCTTGGTGTTTTGAACGGTGAGTTTGACGATGCGAATCGTCATCATTGGCCAGCCGAGTTTTAGCCGGAAGGGGATTGGTGGGAAAACTAGCGGGCTGCCACGTGATGCCGTTGGTCCGTCGCGGTCGCGCATCCAGCCCTGCAGATCCCAACGACATCCTACCCATCAACACCTGCATCTGCATATACGAACACTCCACGTTGTATCCTGTTTCTAAACATATCTTATCGCGTTCCCTGCTTACGGGTGTCGTTCATCCCTTCCGTTGCACGCGAGGTGTGAGCCACGTGTTTACGGTGCTGGTCCCCGGGTTCGCCAGCGGGAATGTCGGCTAACAAGTTGTATAACCCGGATCAGAGCGCGGTGAACACGCGTTGGATAGAGCCCTGGACTGAGGCATTTAGAGTAAGTGTCAGCTATCTGTACTCCGTGCAGTCATCAGTGAAGTAGTCGCACGGTGTTGGGGATGTGTTCCATCACACGTCCATGCGCGGTCTTCGTGGCACCATTCCAGATCCGTCGGCTCATGCTCGACGTACGCAGTATCAGCGAACAGAATCGCTGACTGATGGTAGGCACAACGAGATGTAGGGCTTCAACTTCCCATCAACTTCCATACTACGCCAGCTGTATCGTTAGCTCAAGCCTGCTTCACGAATAACCAGTACGAACATAATGCTTTCCAAAAGTGCTTCTCAAACTTGTTAGCTGTCGGCTTTCGACAATTTACTGTCGATGCTTACTGGGATCCGCTACGTTCAGTATGGAGTCTATGTCCAGTGGAGTTACCCCAATCGAATGAAGACAGCTCAGATGAGGGTGCTTTACCCGTGGCGACGGGACCTACAGTGGTGCCTACAACTAATAGATTGAGTGCGGATACTCCTCTATCTACACTGGAAATTCCTCCGCAGCTTGGAAAACGCCAGGAGACATTGACATCGGCTCCTGCGTCTGCAGAGTCATCATCAGGCTCAACAAACGCGGTATCATCTACCCCATCTTCGTCTTCTACATCGTCGACGAGTGCAGCAACGCCGACCATAGTCGACTTCCCCACCCCCAATGGACCACCGCTTCTGCAAATCGGGAGCTACAATTGTACATCTCTGATGACGCTGGATCTGCTCACGGGTATCATAGAGGACTTTCTCGAGATTACAGCCACTACGACTGATGCTGAGATAACCATGTTCACGTTCAACGTGCATGCTGCCTCGTCCATCACCGATCCGGACGCCCCAGCACCGAACCTTGCGCAAGACCAGCTTCCTGAAGACGGGCAACTCCTTAGTGATGTGTTGCAGGGTAATCTTTCCGATAACACCCTTACGCCAAACGCCTTGGGTGACCAACGCGCAAACTTAAACAGCTCGTGGTATGACGTTGATTGGTCTAACCGCCCATTGATTGGTTACTACGATGACTCCAAAAATGCCGATGGACAGCTGTTCACACAAAGTGGATGGCCTACAGAAGCTTTCATGGAGTTCAAGCAGCTACTTCGGGTCGTCGTTAGTTACGGCACAATCGATCCGCAAATGGACAAGTACAACTTCGGACCAGATCTCGAATACGTTTTCCCTCCCGGAACTATCATCGACGAGCAGTCGGTATCGATAGGCTCCGATGGGCGTGTAACTTCTGGATGCTTGTTTGCGTCTTCCGACAACACCTTGACTTCAACAAGAAACTCGTCTTGGGCTCTGGCCGATGCACCATCACTTGATATTAGCGCGACGCCGGACTTTCGGTCAACTATACCTTCCATTACCAATCTTACCGCCTGCGGCATCACACCGTTCCTCAATCAAACCCTCGCAAACACAACTGCAGACAAGAATCCTTTACCCTACGCCGCATACGTACACTCAACACTATGGACCTTCGCACCTGGCCAGCCTCTCAATTCCTCTGGAGAAGGCGATGACACAAACGACAACCGTTGCGTCGTCATGATGAAGTCGCCATATCCACAGCGCTGGCGCATAGAAGACTGCAACCAACGCCATCGCGTGGCCTGCCACGATCCACGACAACCCTATAATTGGCGTGTATCGGACGACTCAACCTACTACGCGAACGCTGAGGGCTACTGTCGGGACCCATATCAGTTCAGCGTACCTCACACCGCGCTGGAAAACTCACATCTTTATTCTGCCTGGCAAGCTGCCGCTCCTGATGAAGATGCGCTGTACATCAATATGAACAGTCTGAGTGTGCCGGATTGCTGGGTCATTGGACTCAATGCGACGTGTCCATATCTTCCTACTACTGACACCAATCGTACGCGTATTGTCGTTGTGCCGACAGTTGCGGCTGTAATTATCTTCTTGCTGGCTGTGCTTACCTTTTTCATCAAATGTGCAGCGAACCGGAGAGAGAACAAGAGAGGAAGAAAGAGAAGATTAGTCGACGGTTGGGAGTACGAGGGTGTTCCTAGTTGAAGTGAAATGGCTTTTGGCATGTCGCCAGGTTTGGCGGTGAGAATACATGTAATGTTTTACTTGGCCGCGCATAGGTTGAGGCTTTGCTTCACATTCCCGTCTTCAAGTCACTTAATTCACTGCAAATATGCAAAAACCTGGAATAGCATGATGAGCCTACACAGTCAATGGCAGATATGGTGAATGGCGCCTTCCTGCCAGGCTCATCATTGTCAGTATATCCACAATCCCCTCGACAAGGTAGGACTTCCATCGTCAACCAATCACTGACATCAACCTCAAGAGCATGTTGCGCAAGTTCTCATCCAAGATCGCTGCTCATCGCTCAGCTGAGTCGCCGAAGAACAGTCCGCAGTCCTCATACCAACCCTCTCACTTCTCGACCCCAGCGCGAAAACCATCGTTCCACGGCTCTCGCTACTCGGAACTGCCACCATCGGGCCCCGTTCCAACGCCACGCTCTTCGGACAGAGCACCATACTCTGCCACCGGCACGCCACCTCCCCGATCCCTCACCGAGACACCGCGTTCCTCCGCCTCCGCTCCTCGTTCGACCGTAAAGCACTACCTCAGCCCACCCCCACCAAAAATCCCCTACGACGAAGCCGCATGGGCCAAACACGACTACCTCCTCTACTCCGTCTCAGCCCGCGCCTTGAACCTTCACCGAATGGCCCTCGACATTGAAGCCCGATGGCGAGCTGCTGAAGCCGTTACACCGCCCTCAAAACAATACACCATCGGTCGCGCAGCACACATTCCTACATTAGTAGAAGTACATCAGTTGCTAGCGCGGATCAATACACTGAAGAGTGAAGAGCGACGATGGAGGAAAGATTGGCATCCGAGGAGTCCGATGCTAAGGTATCCCGCTTGGGGGAATGTGTATGGCGAGGCTATGGGTGTTAGTACAGGGGAGGGAGAGGCGCCGTGGGATGTGGTTCAGAAGCTGGATGCAATGGTTGAGGGGTTAATAGAGAGGGTTAAGGAGATCTGAGGGTGTTTGTTCCTAACTAATGCAGTGTGTGCTCGATAAGCGCGCAAGTCCTAATAGAACAATTCCGCTCCTGTTTCAAACGCTTCCTGCAACTTCTGATGTAGCTCCATCACGCCCCTCATTGGTGATATAGGCTGTTCATCCTTTGTCAGTCCCAACGCCTCTGCATATTTCGACTGCGCTGCTGGTTCGGTGTCCCAGGGGTGTTCTGGTCGCGCGGCTTTTCCTTCGTCGTTGCGGGCCCACTCGTAGAGCTCCCATGTCCGCTCACAGAGGATAGCGTACGTGCGAAGAGTCCTCCGTTTCTCTCTGATGCTGGCTCGCTCTTCGTGATCGTTACTGTACTGGAGACTTCGATTAAGGCGCTGGTGGATGGAGTCGACTCGCGATAATATCTCGCGCGCTATTTCCCAGCTTCCTTCGAGGACCTGGTCGTGTACGGGCCACATGAGGTTAGACATCTTGCGACAAGAGCTTGATCGAGCTTTTGTTCTGTTAGTATAGATGAGTAAGTGGGCTATGTGGGAGCGCGAGTGTGAGAGAACTCTTATACGTTCTGGAAACTACAACGCTCAACAGTCGTGGAATGAAGTGGTCTATAGACTACCCGGAGCAAGTGACTGATAGTTCGCGAAAGCGAAGCGCTGATATCATATCTTGCTGTCACCTATTAGATCTAGCTACAGGCTGACATAGCTACTGAATGTCGTAAACTTGCTGGCACTTCACGCGACACGTGTGCGTTGAAGTTTCCGCTGCGATGCGCTTTACGTGCGCGTATGCGCCGCTGGATGAACGCTTCAAACATCGGCCTTTGAATTTCAGGTATTCGTGGGGTCATAGTCTTAGCTGCTAAGTAGTTGTGGTCTGCCAAGTCTCATGTTAAGCAGCAGTAGATTAACTTAGGCCCAATTAAAGATATACTGACTGTGCTTCGCATGGCTCCATTGGGTATCTTCCTTTTGTGTACATTCCTTCCTATCTCCCCCACACGCACATTTACTTCTTGCGTGCCAGACCCAAAAGCGACGCAAATGGGTCGATACCATTGATCATTGGCATGGGCTTAGGCTTGGGCCTGGGCTTGGGCTTGGCCTCTTCCTCCTTCTCCTCCTTGAGGACCATTGCGGGTAAACTTGAAGGTAGCTTCACGATAATCTTCTCGCGAGTTGCCTCTACCTGTGGTATGTGCCTGCCGGTGTCTCCTTCGTCCAGCTTCTTCATCTTCTCCTTTGTTTGTCTCAGGCGCTCAGCGAGACCATCAGCATAGCCGAGTTTTCTTCCTATCTCGATGCCACGTTGCATGTCGACCTCCTTGCCCTGCTCTAACCCTGTCTCCAAGCCCTCCGTTTGCCCCTGCTTGAGCCCGATAGCCAGGCCTTCCGTCATACCAGCGCTGTGGCCTTCCTTGATTCCTTGGATGCGTCCGTCGTCTTTTCCAGCATCGAGGCCGCGCTGGAAGGCTTCTTCGCGAGCTTTAGGCAATAGATCCCAAAGGGAGTCTGTCGCCGCGTCGGTCTGCGTCGTGCATGAGGCTGTCATTGCGGAGGTTTGAGTGGAATTTGAGACCGAATCGTCTGGTTCACGTTTAGGAAGGTTCTCGTAGATGGCGTGGTCATACATACTGGTACTGAAAAGACCCAGGAGCGTTTGGTAGATGGTGAGCTGACCTGTTAGCAAAGGTAGGTGGCTTGGCATACTTTGGCTTGCCTGAATCTGCTTCAGCTGTGCCTCATCGAGTTCTTCACGCTCTTGCTGAAAATCAGCGAGGAAGGTCTCGAGCGAGACGCGATTCTGCTCGACCTCGTTGTGCTCACGGGTGAACTCGAGCAGAGCCTGCAGGCGGTCTGTTTTAGGCATCTTTGGCATGATGCAAGTGCGGAGACGATGTTGAGAAGGCAAGAAGAAGATTTGGGTAGAAGGAGCTGTCAACAAACGCGGGTCTTGGCAGTAGTCAAACGGGCAGGCGGTATAGAGACGGCTACACCTCACATCGGTCACCTATCAGATGCTCAATCTCATTGACGTCTAAAGATACTGTCGAGGCATACATGCTCCTGTTGCTTGAACTTATTGCGGCACATCGTGATTCACGACTTCGACATTGTTTCTAGACCTGTCAGCCGAATGCAGTTACCACCAACTGGCGACGACACTTACCCAACAGGATCCACTACAAAGGCAGCGTAGTAGTTTGGATGATAAGGTCTCAAGCCCGGCTTCCCATTGTCTTTCCCACCGGCTTTCACCCCCTCTTGATGGAACTTCTCAACTGCATCTCGATCCGTGCATCGAAATGCGAAGTGTGTCGCAGCTGCTTCAGCATCGCCCTTGGCGAAAATCCAGAAAACGGTGTTCAACCTGTCTGGGCCTAGGCCAACACCCTGTCCACCAAAATCCATCTGTTTGCTGTAACCGAGCGGTGCAAGCGCGGCCAGGTACCAGGCCGTGACTTCTTCGAATCGCGACGCTGGGACGGTGAGGCCGATGTGATCTAGCATTGTAAGAGTTGGCTAGGTACTAGAAGAAAAAGTCTTGGAGCTGGAGAGACTGATTGGATCGAATGAAATTGAGTGTATGAACTGGATGACTACTGAAGGAAACTTGGGATGAAATTCTCTGCTATATACCCGAGCGCCGAGCGGTTACGTGGCTATAATCAAGCCGGCTTGGCCAATATCAACGGACTCCAAATTCGACAATATTTTGGGTGCATACATGGGCTTGAGGAGACGGCAAGCTCCACCATTGCTCATCTATCACAGCTCATGGGAATTGGAAATCTGGACGGAGGCTGACAGCGGGGTCGTACTAGTCCATTCCATGCCCAGTAAGCACCCACGCTGTCAGCTGCTTTCGCGATAGTAGGTTCCAGTAGAGCTAACCGTCTCTTTTCTTTCTTTGCGACACAACACTGGTGTGCAAAGAGGCGTGATCGGATAGAGGGTGGTTGGTGACGGCGCAGGGCTTAGGACGGATCATGGCTTAGGACGGAGTTGAATGACTTCTGGTTTTCCAGCAACCGGGGAAACGCTCGGCGCTTTGCAAGTTTATCCAAAACATCCTAAAGAAGAGACGTGCGGCAAACATGGAAAGGTTGAAGGAAGAGGCTACGACGCGGGGTCGCGGAGTCAGATACCTTGCTGACGCTAACAGCCCTGTCGATCATCCCTGACGCGTCGACGCGTTCACGCGTTCGGACGCTCTAGACACCTCCCAGCCGTCGCGTTCGACAACATCAACACATCATCCGACCATGCCAAACAACAAGAAGATCAGAAAGGAGATTAGGCGAGAGACCACGATCGATCGCGAAGAGCGCGTCAAGATAAAGATCGAATTCAATCTCAAACGAGTTCAGAGGCTCGTCCAGCTCCCGAGGACCGAAATCGTTCATAAGGCGCTTGCCTATCATCGAGATCAGATCACGCGCCTACACAAGATTCAAAAAGGATTTATCGAAGAGAGGAAACGCGTCCGCAATGCAATGTTGCTAGAGATAGAACAGCATTGTTGGACCATGATGCAAGGACATGGCTTTGATGATCTGCTTACTTCGGATGATGCCCCAAACCGCGATCCACCCAATCTTGGAGATCAAGACCAAATGGCCATCGATCAACCCACGAACAATGTCGCCAACGTCCAATTCGATTGGTCGCAAACTTCCAGGGTAGTGGAGTTGATTTCGCATCAAGAAGACGAGGAGAGAGCTCGTTTGACAGCCGGCCAACAGCCTCATGATCCGTTCGCGCCGATCGAATTTATTAGCGATAAAGCATTCGCTACTCTGCCACACCAGCTTGTCCTGTTAGGGCGACTTAGGACTACACCTCAACTAATAGACGCCTACCCATACACAAAGGCTTATCTAGAGGAACCACCACTCGACAGCAACCACGATCGCTTGCAGAGCTTCCGAAAAGATGCTATCTCAGCTATCGAGGCCTACAAAAAGCAATGCGAAGCCGAAATGAAAGATGTACAGTCTACCGAGAAGCAA